GTGTTGATTTTGGCTCTTTTTTGATGTGTGCATTATTGCTATAAATTGGCTTCTGATCACTGCTTTTGCTGTGTCCCAGAGATTTTGGTATGTTGTGTTTTCATTCTCATTTGATTCAAGGAATTTATTTTACCTTCATTTTCCATTTCTTCTCTTACCCATTAGTTCTTAAGGAGGGTGTTGTTCAGTTTCCATATGTTTGATCTTTTTCCATTGATCTTCCCATTGTTGATTTCTAATTTTATAACATTGTGATCTGAGAAGCTGCTTTGTAGTATTTCAATGTTTTCAAATTTATTACAGCTTGCTTTGTGGCCTAACATATGGTCTAGCCTGGAGAATGTTCCATGTGCTGTTGTTGGGTGAAGTGCTCCGTAGATGTCTATAAGATCAAATTGGTGAATTTTATTGTTTACTTCTGTGTTTTTGAGTTTCTTTCCAGTTGTTCTATCTGTGATTGAAAGTGGTGTATTAAAGTCTCCTACTATGACTGTGGAGTCATTTGTCTTTTCAATTCTGTTAAAGTCTGATTTATTTATTTTGGGGCTCTTTCATTGGGTGCACAGATATTAGGTTATGTCCTCTTGTTCAATTGATCCTTTAATCATTATATCATGTCCTGTCTTGTAAGGTGTTTTTTGTCTTTGATCAGAAATTAATATTGCCACTGCTGCTCTTTTTTCGTTGCCATTTGCTTATCTTTTTCCAACCTTTGATATTTAGTCTATTTTTTACTTTCTCTCTAAGGTGTGTCTCTTGTAGACAGTATAATGATGGGTTATGTTTTCTTATCCAGTCTACAACTCTGTGTCTTGAGTGGTACATTTAACCCATTAACATTCATTGTAATTATTGACAAGTATGAATTTGTTGTTCTCATTTTATGTGGTTTTTTTTTTGTGTGTGTGTGTGTGTGGTATTGATTTCTTTGTTCCACTGTAATTGTCTATGCTGAGCTCATTTTGTTTATGAATTCTGTTATCACTTTCTTTGTTGCTATTTTAATATTTGCTAAGTATTTGTGTTTGTCCTTTTATTTTAATATGAAAGTTTATCATTTTTCTTTGAGGTTACCCTGTGGTTTGTAATTTTTTCCCCAAGTTTAGAAGTTCTATAACTATAGTTTTTCCCCTCTTTGGTTTGTAGTTGTCCTCATTTGCCAATTGGGGTCTCTGGTTCCTTGTTTATGATCTTGTAGGCTTATTTACTTTGTATATTTACATAACTGGATTGGTTTCTGGGTTATGTCATCATGTGTTAATGGTCAGCTGCTGTTTGCTGTCATTGGTTCTCTGTCCAAAGAACTCCTTTTAGCATCTCTTGTAAGGTTGGTCTGGTTTTAATAAATTCCCTTAATTTCTGCTTATCTGGAAATACCCTAATTTCACCCTCATATTATATTGAGCTGGGTATATAATTCTTGGTTGGTAATTTTTCTCTTTCAGGGTTTTATATATACCATCCCATTGTTTTCTCACCTGCATGGTTGTTCTGAGAAATCCAAGCTTAGTTTTATTGGTTGCCCTTTGTAGGTAACTTTTCATTTTTCCCATGTTGCTTTCAGGATTCTTTGTCTTTGGTTTTGTTGAGTTTGATGATATGTCTTGGTCAGTTTCTTTTGGGTGTATCTTGTTTAGGGTTTGTTGGACTTCTTGAATGGATATGTTCATATATTCTCATCTTTCATCATATCAGGGAAGTTCTCTTCCAACAAATCTTGGACAATTTTCTCAGTGGTTTTATTTTTCTCTTCTTGTTCTGGAATTCCAGTGACACATAGGTTATTCCTTTTGATGGTATCCCACATGAACCTTAGGCTTTCTTCATTTTGTCTTGATCTTTTTTCTGACTGATCCCTTGCCAAAGAAGTGTTCATGTATTTGTTTCAATCTAATTCTGTCCATCGATTCAATTCTACTCCTTTGCTTGTTCAATGTGTTATCTATTTCTGAGAATTTAATATTAATCTATCTGTAGATTTTTTTATCACTTCTACTTTTTCATTTATTTGGTCATTTTGCTCTTGTGTTTTCTTCCCAAAGTGTTCTAGGGTTTTGTCTGTGTTTTCCTTGATCTGTTGAAGGTACATATATATAATTGTTTTGAATTCCTTATCAGGGAGTTCCTTAGGGAGTTCCAGTGCTGCTGCTTCCTCAGGGATGTTCCTCAGGGATGTGTTCTGGGTCTATATCCTGCTCTCTTGTTTCTCTTCTCCTGTGATACCTGTTGTCTCAGAGACATTGTGATGTTTTTGTGTTTATATTTAATTGGTGATTGTGTTTGAGTGATTTGCCCAAGATTTTCACTTTATTTGGATATTATCTGAGTGAGCAGGGTACCGTGCTCTTCTATTTGCTAGTTGGCAGCACTTAGCAGCACTTATGCACTCAATACCTGTCTTCTTTCCAGTCATCAGCCTCCAGTATGTCCCTGCTGTCCTTGGCAAACTGAGCCTATTCTTAAGTCCCTGGAATCTGAACAAGAATGGTGTCACTTTAAATATCCAAAATGGCCTCTTGTAAACATTCAAAATGACTGCACTCTCCCTATAGCCAAAAGTCCACAGCTCAGTTTGTCTCCTTCTTTGCTGTTTCCCTTTTTAGTCATCAGCTACCTGCACAGTAGTCCATGCAGGGCCAATTTTTACATTAATTCTGAGGTCTTAACACCACTTGGAAATAATCAGACTGTCCGTGCCATCAGGATAGCTGACAGTCCATAGCTCTGTTTGTCTCTTTACTCACTGTTTTCATTCAGGTTCTTTCTAATAGTTGTTTAATCCACTTCTGCATCTGTGTCAGGTGGTTTCTCTTTTCTTTGTTGAAGAGGATCTGTGTAGCTTGTCTGCCTATTCCACCATCTTACCATTTTACCGGATGTCTCTCTGATAATTATTAAACTACCTATTTCTCTCTTCATTTCTGTCAGTTTTTGCTTCATGTATTTTGATCTTCTGTTATTAGGTACATATGTTTATAATTGTATCTTCCTGATGGCTTGACTCTTATTATAAAAATAACAATTTTTGTTTTTAAGTCTATTTTATATTTGTATAGCTACACCAACTGTCTTAAGTTACTCTTTGCATGATGTATCTTTTTTCTTTGCATGACGTATCTTTTTCTATCCTATTTCTTTCCATTTATTTGTATCCTTCAATCTAAAGTATCTCTTTTATACTGCATATTGTTGAATCTTTTTTGGCAGAGAAGGGGGTCCAATTTGGCTAGCTCTGCCTTTTGATTGGATTTTTTAATCCAATTACAATTACTGTTATTATTCATTATATTGACTGCTAACCAGAAGTCAGCTGGCAGTTCAAACCCACCAGCCACTCCTCAGAAGAAAGACTGGGCAATCTACTTCCATAGAGATACTGCCTTGGAAACCCAAGGAGGGGTCACTGTGAGTTGAACTGACTTGACAGTAGTGAGTGAATGTGGTTGGTGATACAACTTAAGAGGTTTTATATTCCTAAGCCCTAAGAACCTGTTCACAGTTAAGATCCCTCTTTGTTCTTTTGTGAATATGCTTTTCCTGGCTTTCCTGGTACTGATACTGAACAAGCAAGGAAGGAGTAAAAGCTGGGAGACAAGAGCAAGTGTTGGTTGAGAGAGAAGTAAAGGTTGGAAGATTAGGCTTAGCCACAGAGTTTTTGGGATGAGTACTGGCTAGATGGCTTCATATTCAGATTCTTTCAACTTGGTTTTCCCTATCCCATGCCATCCATCCTCTTCTTTCTTCCGGGGCAGGCTTCTTGGAGGTGAAGTACTTCTACATCTAGTCCACTCTTTAACCAAAATCTCTATGGTCTGTGGTCCTTCTCATGATACTCCTTTCTTGTCACTAAGGGAGAAATCAGGAGCTTTGGAGGAGAACACAGCAGTTTAATAATGGAACGCTTTTCAAAGTCTAATGTTGTTATGTGCCATCGAGTTGGATCTTACTGCATGTTGGGCAGAACTTCACAAAAGAGTACAGGCAATTCCCTGTGTTCATATTACAAATGTCCAACTTATTGACAACTGGTACTGGTTCTGACTTACCTACAAATTCCACTTAAAGACACACTTAGGAAGTGATCTTGTTCATAAGTCAAGGACTGCATATAAATTCTCACTGAAGACAATTGAAAAGGGATGGCTGTAAGTCCCGATTCCCCTCTGATTTGTTTTGTTTAATAGGGAGGGGAAAGGTGAGGTGGAAGAATTCTTGTGCTACCGCATGACAGACCTTCATTCATGTCTAAGGCTTACAAAGGTGCCCTTTTAAGCATAGGGAGTGAATGAGGTGGAAATGGATGGTTCCATGGTCCATGGAGAGAAGCAAAGACAGAGTTGGCCCTGCCAGTAGACTTGCAGATGGCAGGGTTTCTGGAGAGAAGAGAAGAGGTAATGACAGAATGAGGGCAAAATCAGGAGGACTTACAAGTGAGGCAACCAGCTTTACACAGGATACTTCATAGCTGACCTCTTTCTAGACTCTGAAACTGAGGTGCCCAAGCACCTCTTGTTCCTCACTTGGGGCTGTTCACAGAATTGTCAGCTATACAAAGCCAGCATACTGTCAGCCTGAAACTTTCTCTGAAGCAAAAGACACACCTCTCCATATGGGGCTTTGTTTCTGGGAGCTGAAGCTTCATTTAAATTCTCCAGCTGGGGAGTGAAGAGAAGTTTGTGTGCTTTTTAGTAGCTTTGGCCAGAGGTCAAAGGTACTGCCTACAAATTCATCTCAGGATTCGAACTGCCCTTAGTAACTCACATGAGATGTTTCCCTTCTCTTTGTCCCCTTCCTTTCCTGCTTACTGGACTTCAATCCTCACTTTTGCTGCCTCTGGGCTTTGCTTGGGCTTTGCTGCTCCTCCTGGGGGCCTCCTGTTGCAAGGGACAAGAGGAAGTGTCACTGTCCCCAACTCTTCATCTTTTCTGATGTCTGGCTGTTCTCTAAGAATGAGGAGTGGACCTCCCCCACCTACTGCTTTGGTTTGTTTCTGCCCCTAGGAACTCCTGCATTATTTAATCGGTACCCTGCTCCTCCTAATTGCCTCCATCGTGGCAGCCTCCAAGAGCTACAACCTCAGCGGACTGGTGGCTGGAGCGGTGAGCATGGTCTCTCTGGGGAGCTTGTCTGAATGAATGAATCCCTTTTTCAGATGCTCCTTTCTTTCCTGATGGGGGTAGAGGAGGGGCTACTTTGGGGGGGGCTTTCTTCCACAAAACCAGTACCCCCAACTTGATGCAGCCAGGAGTTATCTCCCAAGAACCTTAAACCTAGGCTCACGGTGGAAGGTCTCATCTGCAAATTCCAATGGCCCCAGCAGCCCAGGCCTCTGCCAGCCACCATTAAACAGCTAGCAAATAGGTTCCAATTCACATCCACTCCCATCATTTGCTCATGCCTGCCCAACACAATGTATGGGAAGATCCTGAGGCCTCTTTTAGGCCCAGGGGAGGGGTACTGTGATCAACAGTGTTATCCACCATGAGGCCTAGAATTGCCATTCCTAATTTTTAACAGTACTCCGGACAGCAACCCCATCACTCCCCTACTTTTCAGAGGTAAAAACTTCTCCCTCTGATGAATGAATACAGGGTTGTGGGAGGAGTGTGTGAGTGTGTGTATACTTATATCGATATAAATATACATACAAAACGAAAACCAAACTCACTGCCATGGAGTCGGACCCGACTCATAGTGACCCCTCATTGGGTTTCTGAGGCATTATCACTACAGCAGTAGAGCGCCCAACCTTCCTTCTGAGGAGTGGCTGGTGGGTTTGAACTGCCAGCCTTCTGGTTAGTAGTCAAGTGCCTTAGGCACTATGCTACCAGAGCTCCTACATATATATATACACACACACACCTTTGTGTGTGTGTGTGATTTTTCTTTTTTAAAGTTCATAGATGCCTGTCATCTGATTTGTGATTTCATTTCTGAGCTAATTATTTACAGTTCAGTGGAGATGGGGCAGTACTAATTTGCTTAACTGATAAACAGGCAAAATTTTTAAAATAAACTTTGAGAAAAACTTTCTCTGGCAGTCACTGTCTTTGACTGACACCAAACCAAACCCAATACCATCTAGTTGATTCTGACTCATAGACTCATAGTAACTGTAGAAGACAGAGTAGAATTGCCTATAGGGTTTCCAAGGCTGTAAGTCTTTACAGAAGCAGACTGCCTCATCTTTCTGCCATGGAGCAAGCTGGTGGGTTTGAACCACCAACCTCTTGATTAGCAGCCCAATGCTTTAACCACATCACCACCAGAGCTCCTCCTTTTGACTTATAACTGAAATTCTTCAGTCTCTAGTCTGGGAGTGGGTTGATGCCCCTTAAGGGCCTCCTAAACTGCCCCAGCCCCATGCTGTCTGAGGTCAGTGATGGTTGCCACCTGCAGGTGGTAGCAGGTGGTAGGAGGTACACAGAGGAATCCATGTCTACTGTGCTTCAGGGACCACATGGGGAGAGTCCCACGGGGTTTTATGATTCAGGTTGTACATAACCATGTAACCATGTTAACTCTAGAATCCACCCAATAGCAAACATTAGCCATACATCATCCTTGTGCCTAGGACCAAACCTGGGCAAAAGAAATAAAAAATATTGTCCCTGCTTATTAGAAAGTGGTAGTCTAACTGAGGAGCTGAGGCCAAGGTGTATGAAACAGCACACCAGGCAGCATCGTCTAGAATAGCATTCTATAGTGACATGATCAACTGTTCCATTATGCAGGGCAGACAGTTGGAGGCCAGGGTGGTATATAATGAGCTCATTGTGCAGAACAGACAATGAGAAGCCAGGACAGGCTCTAATAGGCTAATTATGTGGTGTAGACAATTGGTACAAAAGGAGCAAGGAAGGGAACTCCGGGAAGGAGAGATGAGTGTGGGCTGGTTGGGTAGCTGTTTATGCAAATGAGCAACCAAGCTCGAAACAAACCTTGTTGCAAATCATGCCCTTCATTTGGCTGCTCCTGGACCATTTCTAGTAGGTATTAGCTGTTGAGTTCAGCTTTACATGAGTGGGGTAACATAATGAACTCAGGGGTTTTTTGAGTCTCAGACCACCAGGGCAGCAAGTATAGCAGAGCAGGACTCCCTGGGCTCAAATCCCATCTCAGCCCCTTGCCTGTGTTTTCTTAGGCAAAATAATGACTTCTAGTGCCTCCTTTACTTTAGCTGTAAAATGGCAGGGATGGGAAGTGATATTAGTGCCCACCTCAGAGTTGTTGCGAGGGTTAAAACACCTGCTAACTTGAAGGTTGGCAGTTCAAACCCACCGGCCACTCCATAGAAGGAAGATGGGCCAACCTGTTTCTGTAAAGATTTACCGCCTTGGAAACCCAAACGGGATTGCTGTGAATCAGTTCACTCAATGCCAGTGGGTTGGGTTGGGTTTTGGTAATAAAGGGCTTTTAGGAGTCCCTCAGCTTACAAGCTCACTGACGTTGAGTCGAATCCAACTCATAGTGATCCCTCCTTGGGTTTCCGAGGCAGCATCACTACAGAAATAGATTGCCCAACCTTCCTTCCGAGGAAGTAGCTGGTGGATTTGAACCGCCAGCCTTCTGGTTAGCAGTCATATGCCTTAGGCACTGCGCCACAGAGCTCCCTACGAGTCCCTATGTGATGTAAACATAATGTGCTCAACCACTGGCTGAAAAGTTGGCAGTCTGAACCCACCCAGAGGTGCCCTTGGAAGACAGGCCTGGTGATCTGCTTCTGAAACGTCACAGCCTTGAAAACCCTATGAAACAGTTTTGTCTGCACACATGGGGTCGCCATGAGTCAGAATTGATGTGATGGCAACTAACAGCCACCATGAAGGGCTTAGAACACTGGCTGGTACATACTAAGTGCTCAGTTTAAATTTTAGCTGCTAGAGCTGCCAAATGACTCCAGGCTTCAAAGTTTCAAAAAGAGACCAAGGTTTGTACCTGTTTCTTCCAAGACTGTTTGATGAGCCTCATGCAAGGCCCTGCTCCTCTCTGGGCACCCTGTTCCTCATGTACAGAGTGAAGAGGTTGGACAAGACTTGGTCAGCTTTCCTCATATTTGAGTACTGGATGGAGCCTGAAATGGAAAAAAGCTCTCTCTCAGCTTATTTCTATTTGATGGTATTTAAATATATGTAAACATAAGACAAAGCATAAAGACCTCAGCTCCTAGCTCTAACCAGGCTATGCTATGGGCCTGAATACATTATAAATTAAATTAACAAATGAGGTACAAACAGTGCTATTTCAATAAAATCCATTATAATGTTAAAATTTAACAAATTTTACAGTTCCATCTTTTTCTTCTTTATTACCAAAAATAACCCAAACCTACTGCCATCAGGTTGATCCTGACTCTTAGTGACCTTATATGACAGACTAGAATTGCCCCCGTAGGGTTTTCCAAGGCTATAAATCTTTACGGAAACACACTGCCTCATCTTTCTCCCACAGAGCAGCTGGTAGGTTGGAACCACTAACCTTCTGGTTAGCAACCAAATGCTTTAACTATTAATACCACCAGAGCTCTTTTCTTCTTTACTGGGGGAAAAAAAGACAAAAGATGGCCATCAAAGTGGTCCCCACTAATAGCAATCCCTCCTTGAGTTTCTGAGGCGGTATCTCTACAGTGGATTGCTCACTCTTCCTGCTGAGGAGTGGCTGGTGGATTTGAACCCTGGCCTTCTGGTTAGCAGTCAAATGCCTTGGGCAATACGCCACCAGAGCTCCTTTCTTCCTTATTAGCACAGGATAATTAAAGTACAATAGGTTGGACCCAACCAGTTGTAAACATAAACCCAAACATGGCACTAAAATTGTTTAGCAGTTCAGGGTTGTAAAGTAGTCTCTTAGAACCACAATTGATAAACATTTTCTACATAAATACTTTATGCTTTTTTTGACCATCCAGGATACGATTATAGCAAGAAAGCAAAATGTACAAAACATAAGTGAATGGGTATGGCTGTGTTCCAATAAAATTTTAATTATAAAAACAGATGGTGATTTGGCCCTCCAGCTGTAGTTTGCCAACCTCTGACACAGAAGATCCAGAAATATGCTTATTGTTTACAGACTATCATAGAACGAATATCTACACATCATGTAGAACCAATAACACAAAATTTAGAAACAACTGTATAGAATTTACAGGGTCTAAACAGACCCTTAGGGTCTCTGCAAGACCCTAAGACATGTAGCAAGTATGCACTGGTGTGCCTGGACTTGTATAATCAAATTCTTCCATACTACCCCCATCCAAAGGAGCCCTCGTGGCACAGTGATTAAGTACTCAGCTGCTAACACAGAAACAGGTTTGGGGTTGTTTTTTTTACTTTTTGTTTTGTTTTTTTGTACCTCTGTCTGGTCCATGCTCCAGCCCCTCTCCCGGACCACCCAGCCTTCCTACTGATCCAGCCATTCAAGGGCTAACACCTGGCCTAGTGTTGGGGTGGGGAGGCTTCTAGGACTCTACCTATTGGCTGCTGTATTCTAACAGGTAAAGCCTGAGCCATTTAGGTTATTCAATATTTTGAAATCATAGAAGCCAGTTTTAGACAGACTAGACCAGCTCATCATAAGATGAGTGGCAGGTAAGCAGAAATGTTAGGACAAACCAGTTCCTGGGGCCACATCATACTCTGCCACTTTGTGGCTGTGTGACCACTTGAGCCTCAGCTTATCTTGCATCAGCAGCATGGGGGCAATAACGCCCCCCATCCAGGGGTGCAGATTGGAAGGAATGTATAAAATGGGTCCAGTGCGGGGACTTACTTAGCACAGGCATTCAGTCATTGGAGTATGTCATTATTGTCTTCTTTTCCTTGAGTCAGACCTGGAAAGCACAGAGGACACTTGGAGGTCAGGATCCAGAAGAACTGTTCTCTCACAACCATAACTTTTCATTTATGAGAAAAGAGCCAGGGCTTGCATTAAGGAATTTTCTCCTCTTTTCAAATAGGAAAATAGTATGTAGAAGCTTTCCCATTCAAGGAACAAGAACTCTGTGAGAAGAGCCGGGGGTAGAGACCCAGACCTGGCTGTGGCCTGACCTGGGCCAAGCTGTGGGACTGGGCCTCTCTGGGCCTCCATCTCTGTGTCTGAAGGAGGACGAGGTGGTTGGATCAGATGACTCCCCAGGTTCCCTTCTAGCCACAGTCCAGGGGAGCAAACAGACATGAGAAACAGAAGGGATGGCCTGAGTACCTAACCCTTTGGACTATGTTTCTCCTCCCCTTCTCCTGTGCAGATATTCGGTTTCATGGCCACCTTCCTTTGCATGCTGAGTATATGGCTGTCCTACAAGATCTCATGTGTCACCCAGTCAACAGGTGAGTCCTGGTTACCAATCCACAGAGGAGCTCTGCAAGTCTCCTGTGCTCAGGAACAAGGGAACAGCTTGCTCTTGAGTTTAACAATAGGGAATGATCCTGCACTGAGAAAGCCATGTTTAGGCCCAAGGCAAACTCAGAAGAAGCTGCAGAGCTCAGGGCCAGACAGAAGAAAAGATGTACCTTTAAGAACCTTTGCTCTAATCCCTGCCTCCACCATGCCCAGGGAGACCCTACATGTCCAGCCTCAATGGCAAACTTTTTTTTTTTTTTTTAAAGTTTTTATTATCATGTTTAGAATATATATAACAAAACGTTTGCCAATTCAACAATTTTTACATGTGTAATGCAGTGACATTAAGGGACCTTTACTAAACTGTTAGATTTTTGCTTTTCCCTCCATATTGGACAGTGGTCGTAGGGGTGAGTTTCATGTTCTAGATTAACATATGCAGTTCTTAAACGCTTATTTGTTCTTCCTCCTCCTCCACTTCCTTACACTCAGCATGTTGCACAACCATTATTACTACCCTTTGCCCAATTCCACCACCATTAACAGAAACGCAATGCCCCTACACAATGACACCCCTTTCTCCTCCCCTTCTTTCTGCCCCTGGCAACCACTAATCAACTTTAGCCTTTATCATTTGCCTATTGTAGGCATTTCATGTAAGTGGGATTACACAGTATTTGTCCTTTGTGATTGAACTTACATCACTCAGCTTGACGTTTTCAAGGTTCATCCATGTACTGGCGTACATCAGGATTTCTTTTTAGGGCCGAGTCATATTCCATTGTATAGCTGTACTCCATTTTGTTTATCCGTTCATCTGTTGATGGACATTTTAGTTGCTTCCTTTTGGCTGTCATTAATAATGCTGCAGTGAACATTGGTGCATAGCATTTTCTTGCAATGATCTCCCTCCTCCTAATGACAACAATAAAATGTAGAACATTTTAAAAATACAGCTGAGAAAAAAAGTTTGATAAAACCCATCTCATCACACTACCTAGAAACAGCATCTAGGTGTCCATCCTGTATTTCCCCTCTGAATATATATGTAATATTGCTTTTATTAGAAGCATCAGACTTTATGTGCTATTTTATAACCTACTTTTTTGTTTCTCCTACCCACCTAAGCAGGCATTTTCCCAACATTGTTAGGATGAATTCTCCATCATTCTTAATGGTTCTGTTGCATGATTGTGCCACAATTTATTTAATTCTTCCATCTGGAGACACTGAGGGCTTTTTTGTTTTGTTTTTTTAAATTCTTTGCTGTTGAACTGTGCTGTAATGAACATCCTTGGATCTAAGTCCCTATACACATCCCCAGTACTTTTTCATCTCTAGAATAAATTCCTAAAAGTAGAACTGTGGGAAGCTTGACTGTTTTTTTAATCCACTTTTCTTTGCTCTAGCACTCCTTCCTTTGTGCTTTCTCTTTCTTTTAAAGATGCACTAAGAGTCCCAAAGTCTGTGCATTGAGACGTTTGGTATGTTGTCAGAGCTGCTCTGCAGAAAGGCCGTCACAGCAGAGCTTTTTGTTTCCTTCCAGCAGTCACTAGCAAGAAGTTAACAGGATGCCAAGTGAAAGAAGCCAGTCACAAAAGGCCACCTACTGTACAATGCCAATCGTATGGCATGTCCAGAATAGGCAGATCTGTGGAAACACAGTAGATTGGTGGTTGCTTAGGGCTGAGAGATTAGAAGATAGGGAGACATGGGATGATATGGATGATAGCTAAAGGATACAGGATTTTTTTTTTTTTTTGAGATGATGAAAATGTTCTGAAATTAACTGTGGTAAGGGTTCTCCATATCCATGAATATATTAAAAACAATTGAATTGTACATTTTAAATAGGTGAATTATATGGTATGTGAATTTTAGCCTCAGTAAAGCTGATTTTAAAAATATGAACAATATTAATAAGTGTAGAGTGTGAAAATAAGTTTATAGATTTATCAACTTCAGACAGAATCTATTAATACTGATATGGATATAGTATTTAAAATTATGGAGGAACTCACCAAAAGAAACAGCTAAAGGAGTTGATAAGGGTTACCTCAGAGAAATAAGTCTTCTAACGTGGGGGAGGAGTAGGGATAGGAGTCCCTTCTGCACTATTGAGCGTTATTTTTTAGACATATTTTAAGCCTTCCGTGACCAAATTTTCTGCTTTGAATTTTTTGTTGATACCATGTGTAATGGAAGGCATGCTGAAATCAAGGGAAAAAAAAAAAATCTTCTGTGGTAATATAGATTTTGATACAATTATATGGGACACATATGTCCCAAGTAGACTCTAGAGGTAGGATTAGTGGGGGGAAAGCCCATTTCATCAGATTCACATAGTTATACAGGTCCCAGCCAGGTAGTAGCACTTACTATAACTGGGATAGGAGCTTCCCAAGAAACCTGAGGGGCTGAAAATGTTGATGGGTGATATATGTCCCGCAGGTCATGGGAGCTCTGGTAGCGTAGTGCCTAAAGCACTTGACTGCTAATCAGAAGGCTGGCGGTTCAAATCCACCAGCCACTCCTCGGAAGGAAGATGGGACAATCTACTTGCTATGAGTCAGGTCTGACTTGATGGCACATAACAACAACAGGTCATGAAAGGGTTAAATGAAAAAAGTAATTGCAAAGAAAGTTGGTACTGGGTGGAAGGAAAAAAATTGCATTGAGCAGAGCTTGAATTCCAGCCTGTGGTGTGTGGCTCTGAGGGGGCCCATCCCAAGCAAGCTGGACTGACCTTGCCATTTCCTTCCCAAGATGTAACTGTCTGATGACAGCACAGCTCCAGGCACCTCAGGAGACTCTGCTGGGGGCTGGCAGGATGAGAGATCCAGCAGAGAGAAGGACTGGTGGGCATGTGACCTGAAGAAAGGCTTCTGAACCTGTGTTCCTGTGCCAAAGTCCTGCTCAGGCCGTTGGGCAATGGAAAGGCCCTTCCAGTTTCCTCCTGCAATCCAAGATGCTGGTTCCCTGGACTCCTGAGCTGTCCAGCTTCTTCCTCTTACCTTCCTTAGAGACCATTCCTCCCTGTCTGAGCAAAGAAAGCAGCCTCAAGGGAAATTTGGTCTCATTTCCCCTGCTTTTAGAACAGCCTCAGGTACTGAATGACCCCACTTAACACAAGGAGGGGTTTCCAGAAAGTTGTGCATAAATCTGCTTCTACTTCACATTCCTCAGTAAGTGTAGCTGCCTTAGAAAAACAAAGCCACCACTTAAGTTATCTAGCTTGTTGATTTGGGCTGCAAGAGAGCCGTCTTTCTTAAAGTAAGGTGTACCTGTAGAAACACTATGTGGTCAGCCTGTCCCAAATATGAGATGCCAAGTCTCCTGCTTTTGTTACCATTGTATGTGTGTGTGGTGTGTGTGTGTGTGTTTTTAATAAACTATTTGACTTGGCCAATTGTAGAAGGATGTCTTATTAAACTAGAAGACAACTATAAAACCAGGCTTTAAACAAAGTTTCTGTTCTGAGTTTGTATCCCTCACAGTGCCCTTGTTTTGGTTATCTCTGTGCTACTCTAGCAGAAAATACCACAAATGGGATGGCTTTAACAAACAGGAGTTTATTCTTAAAATTTTTGGAGACTAGAAGTCCAAGTTCCAGGTATTCTGTAGGGGCTGGGTGAAAGCCCCTCGACCTTGGGCTTCAGCTCTGCCTGTTGCTCCTGGCCCACTGAAGCTAGAGGATTTTCCTCACTCAGGTGGCTGCTGAGGCTGGAAAACCCAAGGTCAACAAGTAAAAAGTCACAGTCCCATTATCACTAAACAGCATGGCAAGCCACTAATTCAAGTTCAGAAGAAGTCCCAAGTTTGGCAGGGCAGGCTGTTGAACAATGACTCAGCTACATGCAGGGTTTAAGAGTGCCAAAAAGCTGGAGACCTTCCTCAAAGCTGCTGCTTGTATACTGGAAGCAGCCCACATCCCTAGAGCAGCTACTCAGCTGCTCCAGTAGATTCCACCATGGAAGTGATTCCCAATCTCACCACGGGGAATAACTACATCCAGCTGCCCAGCCATTCAAGCAGGCCCAGCCAAGTTAACAACCTTAACTACCAGAGCCCTAAACGCCATGCTGTGTTTAAAACCAAAAAATCAAACTCACTGCCACTCAGTTGATCCCCAGCAATGCTTACAGAGTAGTAGAATCTGGATTCCTGGCTGTAATTTTTATGAGGCAGACCACCAGGTTGGGTTTGAAACCACCACTGGTTGAGTTTGAACTACCCACCTTTAGGTTAGTAGTCGAGCACAAACCATTTGTACCACCAGGAGCCTTGCTACACTACTAGTTTTTTTCATCCGGGAAAATGGCCATAGGGTTGAGTTTTAGGTTCTAGGTGAGCACGTGCACTTTTTAGTTTATATTTACATCTTTAGTCCTGTGATACCAATTTCCTCATTTGGTGTGAAATAAGGAAGGGGTTTTGGAGGAAGTTAACAGTTGTGTTTATCCTCTGATAGTTCATCTTCTTGCCTTAATTTGCAATTTCCTCAGTCTTTTCTGATGCTCAGTAGGCTAGACAGAATAAAGGGAAGGGGAACACATTTACGGAGTAACTGTGTACTGGGACATGACATTCATGATCCTATCCAACAGAGGCCACAGTCCTGCTGGGCGGGTGCTATCACAGCCATTTTACAGATGAGAAAATTAAAGCTCAGAAGCTCCTGAGCACAGGGTAGGTCAAGGAGAGCTGCATTTAGAATCCAGGGCTGCCTGACTCCCAGCTCCCATCCTCTTCTATAAACCAAAAAAACAAACCAATTGCTGTCAGGCTAACTCAAACGCAGTTGACATTTGAGGATGTGGTAGTCACTATGGAGAAGGCCCTGCAGTTTCCCGGTGGTGACTCACCAGCCCTGAGCTACAGCTTTACCCCAGGGAGGAAATATCTAAGCAGGTGGGGCAGTGCTGTTCAGCTGACCAGGTAGACTTAATGTGAGTGTAACAGTGAGGCCTCACCTCTAGACCCAGGTGCATTTAATCAGTTCTCCAGAAGTAGAATCAATAGGATAGTTGGATTGATAGATAACTAGATACCACAATCAAATCCACAGCCATCAAGTCAATTCTGACTCGTAGCAACCTCTACTGGGTTTCTGAGGTGGTAAATATTTATGGAAGTAGATTGCCCCATCTCCCGCCCACAGAGCAGCAGTAGGTTTAAACCATCAACCTTCTGTTTAGCAGTCAAATGCCTTAGACACTACACCACCAGAGGTCCTTAGCCAGATAGATACTGATTTATTTTAAGGACTGGCTTCTGCGATTATGGGGTGCTGGCAAGTCCAAAATCCAGGCAGCATTCTGGAAACTCTGGCAGTCTTGAGTCTGAAATCTGTAGGGCAGGATTTCTGTTATAGTCTTAAGGAAGAATTCCTTATTCTCTGGGAAACTTCAGTTTTTACTCTTAAAGCCTTCAGCGGATTGGGTGAGACCCACCCATATTAAGAGTTACCTTTTTTTTTGGTCAAAGTCAACTGATGATAAATGTTAATCACATCTACAAAGACCGTCACGGCAATATTTAGACTTTGGCCCAACCACTAGGCACTATAGCCAAGTTGATACATAAAATTAACCATTACACTAGATACTAATTCTTCGTAACACAGGTGTAAACTGGGACAGCTGACCAGCTTCCCTCCAACAAATTGAGATGCAGTAGGTCTGGGTGGGAACCTTGCATGCAAAGTGTAGTTTAGCCACAGGGACATTACCTGGGAGCTGGTTAGAAATGCAGGATTCTAGGCCCCACCTGGAAGCTCTGGTAGCATAGTGCCTAAGGCACTTAACTACTAACCAGAAGGCTGGCAGTTCAAACCCACCAGCCACTCCTCAGAAGGAAGATGGGGCAATCTACTTCCATAGTGATACTGCCTTGGAAACCCGAGGAGGGGCCACTATGAGTCGGGGGATTGGATGGCAGCAACAACAGACCCTACCCAGACTGTGAGAGGTAGAACTGTCTGCATTGCAACAGATGCCCCACCCCTACCCCTACACACACTTTCACGTTTGTGAAACACTTCTAATCAAAGATGCTTTATGGATAAAATGCAATGCTGAGGTCAATTTCATAATGCAGAAAGGAGTGGAGAAATGGTGGCAGTTGATAAGTGTTCTAGGTAAATCTGTTCCTTGTTGAATCCACAGCTACAGCAGGAAGACTGTACCATAACTGTCTCCTGTCATGGCATTTTTGGGCCCCTTGTCTTTTCCCAGGTCCTTGGCTGACATGAATGGTTTGCACTTGGCTATTAACCAAAAGGTTGGTGGTTCAAATCTACCTAGTGGTGCTATGGAAGAAAGGCCTGGCACTGATCTACTTTCAAAAAATCAGCTGTTGAAAATCCTGTAGAGCACAGTTCTACTCTGAAATACCTAGGGTCACTATGAGTCAAATGAACTCGATGGCAACTGGTTTTGGTTTGTCCCTTCCCACCTTCTGGCTCCAGCACACAGAGGCCCGGGCCCTATGTGTCCTGCAGAGACCTTGAGAAAGAGCAGAGGGTGTGATGACAGCACTGGACAAGGAGCCCAAGAGCTTATAATGAAGTCCAGCACACAGGCTCAGGGACCTGGGGAAAGTCTCCTATAAGCCCCCTGTCCCCCAGTTAACAGGTGAGATCTGACCAAGAGGTCAGATATCACTGAGCTTGGTAAAGTGGGAAGGGCAAGTTCGGTGGGGGGGCAGGGCTGGCTGTGCTCCTGCTGCCCCAGGGGGGTGGGGAGGGGCATTGAAGGGCAGGGCACACATGACTCAAGTGGGGAAACCCATGAGTTTGCATGCCTGAGTTTTTCATGGGAGGTGAGAAGAGGAAAGGATATAAAAGAGACGGGCCTCTCAAGCTTTGCATATTTTCAAAGTAAGATGAGATTAAGTGTGGAGGCCACACTGTTCACACAAGACAAAGCAACACTCCAAAGCAGTGCAGGACTTTCTGTCTAGGCACCTCCATAGCTGGAAGAGTAAAAATGATGCCTAACCAAAAGCAAACCCACCACAGCCCAACAGAGGCCAAAGCAATATTTTAATAGCTAAGCAGTATCGGTCCTGGAGAACTTCTGCTGTGGAATGTTTGTCCTTTCCACACCAGGCCTTCCCTGGGAGCTGCTTAACCCATGGGCAGGCAGTGTCCGTGTTTAATCCAGACTCCATGCCTACCACCCCAGACTCCCAGCACAGGAAGGTGACCCACAGGCTCCATTTCCTATTTTCCTTCTTGTAATCTCCCTCAGGGATAGAACAAAGAGATATCCCTCAGGGATAGAACAGAGAGAGGCAGAGGAGGTAACTGAGGATCACTTTCCCACCAACATATTCAAACAGGTGGGCAAGAGGAGTCTAGGCTGCTCAGCCCCTAGTGAACGTCTCAAAATCCAGGCCTCTTTGAGACTTTTTGTAGTCGCAGGTAGGCACTGCCAAGTGAAGATGTGAGATATGGAAAGGTTAGGCCCATGGGTGAGAGGACAAGGGACTGTCCAAGGACCAGGAGACATCACTGACCAATAGTCTGCAACAATCTGAGGCCCCAGGAAAGGGTGTCAGCGCTTGCGGCTACAAGGGGCACTGGTTGGTGAGGCAACCAAAGCCAATGTGTCCACATCCCCCTCCACAAGCAGCCAGCTCCCTGGCCAGCAGAGCCTCCTGCAGCCTGGCCTTGCCTCTTGAGGAGGAAGGGAAGAAAGGTAGAGCCTTCTGCAGGCACCCTCCTGCAAGCTTCTGCCACAGGTTGAGTTCTCACCACCCACTAGACTGAAAGAAGCAGTTGCTCAGTGAGGCTTTCAAAGATGGCTTCTCC